AATGTTGCCAGTATCTAAATGTTGTGGCGTTTGTTGCTGCAAAGCTGAGCAGCGTTTACAGTAAACGTTCCTCTGGTGGTGAGGTCAGAACTGGGAACTCCTGCAGTCATCGCAGTCATTGAAAACAAACAATTAACCTGTTTTTGCTCAAGATAGCATCTGGATCATCAGTTTTTTCCCACCATTTCCTACACGGAATGTCCATTCATTTTCCCCTCAGTCTCCAATCGGACATATTGTCTGTTTTAATATGTTTTAATGTGCCAATTCACAAGTCCAAGTCACTCGAGTCAACACTCTTCGAGTCCAAGTCTGAGTCACCTAGGGAGAGTCGTAGTCGAGTCCAATGAGTGTCTGAGTCGAGTCCGAGTCATCATTACCTGTGTTCAAGTCTGAGTCACCCAAGGAGTGTCCGAGTCGAGTCCGAGTCATCATTACCTGTGTCCGAGTCCTAGTCCGAGTCACCCAAGAAGAGTCCAAGTCAAGTCCGAGTCACAAGTCTTCATGTATTAACCTTCGTGGATATATGTGTTGAAATGTAGCTGCTCCTCTACATTCCTTTTATCCTGTGATGTTATTATAATGTGTCTATTGAACTGCTGTAAAGCAAGTTTGGCTACAATTCTTGTAATAGGTGCTATACAAACATAAAGGTTATTACTAATATTATTATTATTATTTTTATTATTGTAAATGACCTTTAATATGTCTAACTATATTTAAGGCGAGACACGGCAGGCAAAAACATCGTTTTTCAAGCACTGGTCAATTTTGAGATTTTGTGCTATTTTGATTCTATAACATGTTTTCTTTCAGGCTTTTGGAAGGAAAACGTACAAAATACACATTTAAGTGTTTATTTTACTATAGTTTGTCTATTTGCGTCAGTAGATTTCTCCTAAATTCACCAAAAGTTAGCATTCTAACGTAACATAAAGTACCGCGACCGCTGTGTGCACCATGTCATCAGAGATATCGTTGGAAAGCTGTGTCTCTCCTGCACAATCTCATCGGATCCAAATATGGTCTTTTCCTTTGTATCAGCAACCAATCGTGAAAGTACAAAGGGGTCTTAAACCAAGAAACAAAATCTCATTGGCTGGTGTCAATTTCTGACAACGTGATNTTCAAAAATACTTGGCAGGTGATAAGAGATCAATCTGTCTATCACCTTCTATAATGGGCCACTTCTGATTGGTTAACAATGACTGGTACATATGGAGCACAGCACTTCTGATTGGTGTGGATGACTGACACACAAGAAGAACAAAACAAATCGCAGGCTTTGTGATTTGTTGATTGCATCATTTAAAATCGCGATTTCGATTTAAAATCGATTAATCGTTCAGCCCTACTACTGTTTTGTAGAAGGGCCGACCGTCAGTTCTCTATATGTGGTTCAGACTTCCCTGCATCCAGAGCCATATTATGTACTCTACCTTAAACAGAACCTTTTACGATGGAGAATATTCTGTATACAGCAAGCAGACATCCAAAGCCACTGAAGAAAACAGTGCACCAAAAACCAAGCGACTGGGATATTCAACAATAAAATGGGCTTAGGGATGCATGGCCTTACAAACGTAACACCAGCGATTTTGACCAACCAATCCACTGACCGACCACCAGGTCGGCACTATTCGGTTATCTGATAAAAAAAAAAAGAGCTGATCAGTTTGACATTTTATTTTGTAAAGTATGTGGGACCGCAGTTAATGTTGTTTGGTGCAGGGTCACGGGTTCAGGCTGGTTGGGGTTGTAACTATGTGAGCTAGCGTTCAGGCTAACAATAGCATTCCATAGGGTTGTAAAACATACTGCCTCTTGTCAAACACTCGACTGTCACTAATCACTGTCTTTACAATCAGCGTCCTACCTTCAGTGGCGTGTTCTATGTCATCATGCGGTTATAAAACAGGCACATGAACAAACAATCTTTCTAAACGAGGTCACTCCCTCCTCCTGCCTGGTTAAGACTTTAGGAAATTCTATCAGACTTATCTATGAGGAGTTTAATTTCAATGGCCCTTTTCTAGTCCTTTTCATTTTGTGGTAACTATAACTTTTGAATATTGATCGGAACAAAGATAATATTTTGTCTGCAGCCAGTGACATGTTCTTGTCTCAGAATCATTTTTTTTCTTTTAAACATGAATGACAAAAACCACGATCAGTTTCAGTTCATGAAAAGGTTTTGTTCTTCATTATCTTCCATCAGACCGTCCCCTTTTCAGCTGCTGTTCTCCTCCCTCCTCTTTCTCCTCTCTGCCTCTGCAGACACACCTGCTCTGCATACTAAAGCAGCAGCCTGCACCTCCCTCCTCCTACACACAAACACACACTCACTATGCAAACTTTCTGCTGACCACACCTTCCCCATGGAGAGGAACTTTTTTCTTTCTTGTTGCACCCAGTAACACACACACACACACACACACACACACACACACACACACACACACACACACACACACACACACACACACACACACACACACACACACACACACACACACACACACACACACACCATCGCAGGAAACAGTACTAGTGTGGACTCGCTGCCAGTTTCCTGTTTGTCTCTTTGTTAAATGTAACCCGTTCTCTTAGCCCCTTAACCCTCACTGGGCACGTAGTGCAGCTGTTTTTTTCAAACTCCATCCAAACCCAGAGAACTTTATTAAAAAATAATAATATGGATGGCAAGGTTTACAACCCGCAAAATAAATTGGTCTGAATGTGTGGATCTGAATATTCGAATAGATACGTGTCTTGGAATGGCTCAATGAAACTAAGATGTCATATAGTCTATTTCTAAGATCCAAGATAAGATACGAAATAAAGATAACTTGTACAATCTAACAAATTAACCGTCTGTATGGGATTAAATGACATTAATGTTGAATATGTTATGTAAATGAAAAATAGGTGGGAGCGTGTGATCCACTTTGGATCAGGCGTGAGCTCATTTTGGTGATATATCAAAGACTCTTTGCATCCTGATTGGTTGATAACCTGAACATTACTGAACACTGAGGAGCTGCTGTTGATCATGGTTCAGCTGGTGTCAACAATTAATGTTTCGTCAAGCGCTATCACTGGGATACACAATACTTATGATGAGTGATGAAAGTGAGAGCTGTGTGAATTATTAAATCTCTCCACCTGATGTCTGCAAACATGAACTGAAGGTTGCAAATATATGCAAATACTCGTCTGAGTGCTTACACAAAAGCAAATATGAGCAGAGATTTGTACATTAGGTATTAAGGTTTGAGCTTAAAGACCATTTGAAGCGGGTTTTTTGCCAAAACAGGATTTACTGAATTCAGGTAATATTAATCAAACTGCTAGGTAAATGTATTTTCAGAATGTCTTTTATCTATTTTTGCACAGGAACTCTTCATTTTCCATCATCAGTCAAACTTATAGTATCAACTCAAAGGCTCCAAACCTTTCTGTGTTTTCTTTGGGTTTCAATCACTTTTGGGCTTTTGCATTGTGAGCACAGATTTGATCTTCAAGCAGATAAATGCTTTTCATCACCGCATCTACTGTCCAGTCAGAGGTGAGGAGGGGTGGGCTTTACCAACTGAACAACAACGGTAATTTTTACCCTACGACAACAGCAAACATCGAGTTAGGCAGAACATAAATTCAATGCTTTAAACTACCAGTGGGGTGTGCAAACTAACAGTGATGCAAACACAGGTATGGTAAAAAAAGAGAGAACTATTCGAAGCAGAAAAAAAACAGCGTAATATACCATCTGACAGGCCTGTGCTATAATGCTTCAATTAACTGGCTATTCTTTATAATATACTCAGATCAATAGGAGACAGAGATGTTAAGTTATAAATCAAGGATTTTTATTATTATTTACAGCAGGGGTGGGGAACCTTTTTCCTTTCAATTTTTACAACATACTCCGAGGGCCGTACAAATGATTGAACTCAACCTCTGCTTAAAAAAACTAAAATCACAGCCCATTCATTTCGCCTTTCTTTCATGCTGTGCAAAGAAAAAGCAACATTTTTAATCCAGATATCTCACCATGACTCATGCATGCATGCATGCATTGTGGCCCTGTCCAATATAGTGCCAGATGCTGTGGTAAGGGAAGGAGGTAGCTCATTACGGATCTCACCGGTGGATATCGATTTTATGGCTTTCCAAAATCTCCTAGGATTATTTAGGTTTTCTGTGCTAACTGACAAATAGTACTTTGACTTAGCACTTTTGACATGTGAAGTGAAGCTATTTCTTAGCTGCCTAAAACGCAGCCATTCTACCTCTGAGCCTGATTTCTATAGCCTTTGCCCAGGCCTTGTTTCTCTCATGTAGGAGACTAGACAGTTCAGCAGAAAACCAAGGATTGTCTCGTCCCTTTACTCTAAATGTACGCAGGGCGGGTGCATGTCTATCAATGATCTCCATAAGACCATGCAGTTTCTACATCAGCACACAGATCGATTTTTTCCTAATCAAACCCAAACAGATCATGAACAAAACCCTGCACCACAAAATGTTTTATGTCTCTCTTAATAATAATACGAGGTTTAACCTTTTGGACCTTAGTGTCCCTAATTGTGGCTACAGCACAGTGATCACTCACATCATTCGCAAATACTCCCACAGATGAGTATTTATAGGGAACATTAGTTAGAATGAGATCAATTAGGGAGGATTTATTAGGGGACTTAATGTTGGGGCGAGTAGGACTGTCAACAATCTGAGTAACATTTAAAGAGATACAAAGGTTTTTAAAATCCTCTGATACTGCAGTTAACCAGTTCCAGTTAAAATCACCAAGTAGCACTATTTCCATGTAGTCTAGTTGCGATAAAAGATTTGCTAGCGAAGACAAGGAGTCCTTGACAGCTGAGGGGGGTCTGTAACAGCCCACCACCGTGACCTGTTTTCAGCTGCCTGGTTGGGAACCAAAAAAAAACAATTGACTTTAAGTATTCAGCAGATAGCACATGAATTTAACAGGAAGACAAGCTAACTCACAGCACACACAAAAACTCCACAATTAACAGAGTCCTGCGACTTCCACTGGGGAGGACATGTGACAGTCCATCCGTGAAGACCACCAGACAATCTGAAGACATTTCTAAAAAAGAAAGTCAATACCTCAATAATATGTTGTCAAATAACCAGACCTAGTGAATTACTGTTGTATGTTAGGCTTTGACTGTCCCTTTACCTGAGTATGTCCATGTCTCTGTCACTGATCTTTGGGAAAAGCATCAGCGAATCATATATCTTAATCTGTTTAACTTTGAAGTCCAGCACCTGTGAAGAAAGATAACTGTCACCACTTAATTCAGAATTCTAAGAAAAAAGGTTAAAGTGACATGTAAGTTTTAAAGAATGTCATGGTCTGGTTTATGGCATTTGCATTATATGCAACATTTAATCTGGCCCTCTAGACATGAACTTGCCTGCCAAAAATGTAAATCCGCTATCTTTAACTATCCAGTTCCATAAACATTTCATTTTTGAAAAATAATAATAAAATATTACTGATGGCTCACCCAAAGAATTAAGTGGTTCCCCCTCTCTGGAGAATAATCACCTACAAGTCTTGGCAGGAAGATCTTGTCTGACACCTAAGGCACAACAATAAATGATAACATAATACATGTTAAAAACACATGTGTATTGTTCTTTTGTAGTATGCATTAAAAATAGTAAAATGACCTACAGGGATGGACTTCACAACCCTATCAGTGACTGCTCCACTTCAAATCCAGTCCATTCACGATGCCACAAAATGAAGTCGAAAGTGCCCAAAGAACTGCACTATAACAGAAAATGTAGCATTGATATTATAATAATCCTTAATAATGGTTTTATAACATTATATTTAATGGGGAAAAGTTCAATCTATTACCTTGTTCTCTTGAGCCAGTTGTGCCAGACGATAGCCTGTCTGTCATTGAAAATACATGTTATAATAAAAATATATTTTTCATTGTTTAGTTTTTCACACTTTTTTTTATCAGTATTAGGTAAACATTTCTGGAGCTTCCAAACCAATATTATTTATCTGCACTTACATCATCAGCCATGGCATGTTTACTGAGTACTGTCCCAACAACGTCCTGACGGGCAACACATCTGAATGTCACTTTCTGGATACTGGGAAACGCTTGAGAATTTCTGCCAGGTGGTTGTTCATTCCGACATCCAGTATAAAAAAATTCCATGAGTTTTTCCTTAAATACAACATTATTACAAAATGAACGAGTGTTAAACTGCTTAATTAAAGTTATTTAAAGAAACAATAAAATGGTTGAGGGGTGTGTTTATTCACCTTGTCCTTTAAATCTGTGCATATTGACTGTGGCCAGAAATGAAGATGTAACAGTATTTGAAGATGGATTTTAGGATTGCTGGGCTGGATTAGCATGAGATTATCCTTCTCCTCTGTAAAAATACACAAAAAATATATATTAGTAATTGTCATAAAATAATAACAAAATAATAATGATGAACATGTTTACTACCATGTAAGGGATTAAATCTTTACCAGCAATAAGATCCCAGTTGAAGGTTATGGAAGGCACTTTTTTAGCACTTTCCAAACTCGGAAATATTATAATTATTATTGTTATAATAATCATCTTTCCAAAATTACAGCAGATTGCAAATCCCAGCATTCCATGCAGTCCAATAGACAGCTGGTGTTCACATGGCCTCCATTTGTGCCTTAAAACCTTTTGTGATTTTGTCAGTTGTGCAACATCAAACAAAACCCTCAGAGTTTGTTTGAATTGTGGCTCTTTCATTTGGCACAATGAATATTTTAACAGCTGACAGTTTCACGATGTCAGTTGCTCTGCCACTGAAGAGTTCACTCTCTGTAACGGAGGGTGGGGCAAATGTTTCAGGCTTCTCAACTTCTTCTTCTGGGCGTTTTTGATTATTTCTGATGAAATCTGCATAACAGAGAGAATCGTTCACATTTTCCTGTTATAGGGATGTACTGCTGTGAATCTGTCACTATCTGGGCTTTCTTGCAGTGGTAATGGAGACCTCAGATTCTCACCCACTTGCATGTCAAACGTGTAGTTGCCTGTTGGCTGCCAGTTCGATGATTGTCGGGTTCGTGCACAGAGTCTTCCATCGTTTGGTTGGAAGAGAAGCTGTTTGGTGCGGTTGTTGGTGTGTCGACCAACATGACCTGCTAAATCCGAAATGTAGCAGGTCGGAAAAGTGCTTGAAACTAAGAAGACCATCAGTCATGAGTCTCTTGCCGACTTCGTCAAAACAGAATGTTCATGTAGTACACCTATGCCATGTACACAGGAGAAATGAAGGACACCACCTAAAGCAGGGGTGGGGTGAACCTCCGCTCCCGGGCCGTATACGGCTCCGCGAGACAATTTGGGTACGGCCCTCGAGGTAATTTATAAACACAGCGCAAAAAAAGATTTTTTTTTGAAAAATCTAGACCGCAAAGAATGAACAAGTGAGTGCCTGTTTTCCTAGCACAAGTTCAGGTCACTTGAACACATCACGAGCCTAACGTGTCATCACGTGGTATATGTCTCGTCCGTCTCCGTCTGATAGGGGTGCAGTTCTGAGAGAGAGCACCAGAACGCCACTCCGGCACTTCCAGAATGCAGTACCTCATAAGATTAAGGAGCCATAACATAATGCCGCAGTTGTTGCGGGCTGTGTCTTTAGCTGTAAACCCAGTCGCGATCTTGTTCATTACTGTCAAACTGATCATACAGTCAAAACTTGTTGTTATTAGCATTGGTGCTAGCATGCTAACGAATATAAGAAAGCTTTTTCTATAACCAGTGAGGTAAAGCACATCTTATATATCATCATTATAGTTATAAAAAAAAATTAAGAGAATAAAGTAAACGGTATAAAATACTATATGACAGTAAAAAAAGTTGTTATTAATAAACAAGAATACAGTTTGAAAGGAGTGATTTGTAAAATATCCNACATGAAACTTCCGTTGGGTTGTTTTAAAGTCAAGCTTCAGTTTAAGATTCACCCTGTAATAGAAACATGTGATGGAGCATTACTAACCTGACTCAGATGGTTTGTTTCACCAAACCATCTGAGTCAGGTTAGTAATGCTCCATCACATGTTTCTATTACAGGGTGAATCTTAAACTGAAGCTTGACTTTAAAACAACCCAACGGAAGTTTCATGTAAGTTTAGTTCTTTCACTCGTAGCTCACCCGCAGGGGTGCTAGAGACGGGAGCATGTTGATACGACCTTCCTAGCCGGAGTTATGGCCGCATTTTACAATAAACTTCCGTTGGGTCGCTTAAAAACAAATATCGCAAATCGAATCGCAATATCTATCAGAAAAATCGCAATTAGATTATTTCCCCAAATCGTGCAGCCCTAAACAGTAGTATTGAGTTTCCCTCCGTTGTTGTTAATGTTTAGATCTGCTTGTGTTGGTTGGTCTTTGTGGTTTTTTCGCCACCCTTGATGAAATAATCGCAATTAGTTATTTTTTCCAAATCCTGCAACCATGGTTTGAACCAAATATGAAAAACCGTCGACCCTCAGTTGAAATACACTGCTCTCCGATTGCCAATTATTAAAATTAACACATAAAATCGAACGGACTCAGCTGTTATGAAGTGTGGAGCTCCAGTCACATGATAACTGGAGGGGGATATTGACTCAGGTATCTACTGTAAGATGCTATTGGATGGATCAGTTTTTAATATTGGATTATGATAACAGCTGATTGATACTGTCCATGAGAGAATTTTGGCACTGTTAATGAAAGCAAAACCCCTTTTTAAAATGTTTTTATGAAGCTAATGCTGCTGTGTTTATACTTTATGCATCAGATTGCCTAATATTAACAACATGATGGATGTGATGGTGGCAAGTGTGAGTCACTCTGCTTCTTGGTTTAGTTTAACCAAATGTAATCCTGGAAAGCAAACCCTGCACTCTGCCAAAACACACATCAGTTCCTTACTAAGGCGGATTATTCATTACGTGCCTTTCTCCGATCTATTTAAAGGTGTTTTTCAAAAGATTTATATCGCAAGTGAAACACCAAAACACTTAAATGTAATATCTTCTTCTCCTTCGACTTTACCGCCAGCCTCTGCTCAGCGTTTATGTTGCAGCATGGAAGGAAAATCCAATGACAATAAACATCCACAACTCATAAACATGGGGATCTTTCCATTTCTACATGATATGATCACAGCATGAGACGGGGTGCCTGTGGGTTTTGTTGTAAAACAAAATGTGAAATGTTTAAACCACACAACACAAATGATGTTGAAAATAAATCTGCTCCGCTCGGCCTTTTTTATTGGCCATTTTCTGCACACACACTCATTGGATGGGCTCTTGTATCCCCCACACACACAAATACACAATCAAGTGGCTGGCAACATGGTGGCTACAGCATAATTTCATCTGGAGTCAATAACAAACAGATAAAACGGACAAAGAACAGACACACTGGCTCTCAGGCACTCAGACGCATACACTGAAACTCTGCTCGCCTTATGGCACAGATGCCCCATCTATATATAGAGGCAGCTAAAGACATGACATCACTTCCTGTCTGGCTTATGTAACTGAACAGTTTCTCATTAAGGCTTTCTTTAAGGTATCTCTGAACGAATGGTGCTGATGATGTGGCTCCAACTTGCTGATACGATAATACTTTATTGTCAATTTCGTAAACTATTTAAGAAAATAAATAATCAAACAGACATTGAACATAACATTACCATCCCTGCAGACAGTATTTACGAGACCCTTTAACAATCATTTCATCTTTTTTTATATTTAGGATTTAACTTATGATTAACTGCAGTGTTGAACACAATGACATCCAGAATTGTTGTTCTTCACCAGTGAGATTCCAATTAGTAATGATGTTTTTTTTAAATAAAAAAATATATATTTGAACACACATTTGAAAATCAGGGCCTTAATTGATAGAGAAAGACACATCTCAAACAGAGATTTACAGGTGCCCTTGTATGCTTTTGGCGGTTTTCCCTTTCCTGTAGTGGGTTATATAGGTCTTTTTGTGCATGTAAATGGTCTGCTAAGGTTAGAAGAGGCGCTGCAGCACAGGCAGTAGGAGAAAAATAAAGCAGTTTTTAAACATTTAAGCATGTCACAGTAGAGGCACAAAATGTAAATGTAAACCTGCACATTTGCATAATAAAGCCCCTTTTAATATTACAATAAAATCCCATCTATACATTTTAACATATATATTTTGATCTAGGATTGAAGTCCTTTTTTTAATTGACATAGCATTTTACCTACAGGACTGTCTCAGAAAATTAGAATATTGTGATAAAGTTCTTTATTTTCTGTAATGCAATTAAAAAAACAAAAATGTCATACATTCTGGATTCATTACAAATCAACTGAAATATTGCAAGCCTTTTATTATTTTAATATTGCTGATTATGGCATACAGCTTAAGAAAACTCAAATATCCTATCTCTAAATATTAGAATATCATGAAAAAGTATACTAGTAGGGTGTTCAACGAATCACTTGAATTGTCTAATTAACTCGAAACACCTGCAAGGGTTTCCTGAGCCTTGAAAAACACTCAGCTTGGTTCAGTAAACTAAATCACAAGTATGGGGAAGACTGCTGATCTGACTGCTGTCCAGAGGACCGTCATTGACACCCTCCATCAGGAGGGTAAGACACAAAAAGAAATTTCTCAAAGAGCAAGCTGTTCACAGAGTGCAGTTTCAAAGCACATCCACAAAAAGTCTGTTGGAAGGGGGAAATGTGGCAGGAAACGCTGCACAACCAAGAGAGATGACCGCAGCCTTAACAGCATTG